GTGGCGGCCAAGGTCCATGTAAATAGCCAAGGGGTACCCGGCCTCGAAGCCTGTTGGCCGAGGCTCCTTTACTGGGTCTGTGAGCGGAACGTAATCTGGTCCTATCAGGCCGATTGTATATCGGGGGTCGCGAACACACAAGCTGACATTCTGAGCAGTTCTACAATAGACCACTCGGGGTGGCGTCTACACCCGAGGATTTTCCGGGAAATCTGTCACCGTTTCGGTCTCCCCCTAGTGGACCTCTTCGCGTTCCCTTTCAATGCACAGCTGGATCACTGATTTTCACACCTTTCGATGGTCGGAGCGGAACAAACGGACGCTCTTCGGAGCCCTTGGCCTATGGGTCTCCTTTACGCCTCCCTCCTCTACCTATTCTTCCAGACGTGGTCCGCAAGTTTCTTCGGGAGCGAGCGGAACTCCTCCTGTTGGCTCTTTATTGGCCAGGAGACCTTGGTTCGCCGACCTGGTGACTATTTCCCTGGAGGAACTTTGACGGATTTCACCAAAACAGATATCTCTCAGTCAAGGGACCGTTCTATGTCAGGACCCACAATGGCTCCAATTAGCCGCCGGGCGCTTGAGCGTTCGAGCTTAACTAGGGACCTCTGCTCACCGGGGGTCATCACAGTCATTCAGGCATCACGCCGTTCATCCACGAACCGCATCTATGAGGCTGTGTGAAAACATTCCCATTTTTGGTGTTCCGGACATTTGTCGCTCACGGAACTGACTATTCCAATTGTCTTGGACTACTGGTTAGATGGTTTAAATAAGGGATTAGTTCCTCACACGCTGCGCAGGCAGGTGGCAACTTTGTGCACGGTCCTCAGTTGCGACTGCAGAATCACTGGGTCATCACCAATTGATACGGTCGTTCCTTAAGGGGACCGCCATCAGCAAAACCCCGGTGGTGCACAGGTACCCATCGTGGGAACTGCCACGCGTGCTTCGTGCCGTCAACAAATTTCCTTTGAGCCACTCGGACGGGTGACATTCGTGTACTGTCCCACAAGGTGGCATTCCTGATGGCAATTACGTCTGCACGTCGCATTTCGGACTTGGTGACATTGTCATACGGGATGCTTCGTGGGTTCTCAACAGGTTTGAGTATTTCTCCGCCTCGACCCTATCTTCGTCCCGAAAGTCAATTCCCTGTTCCATAGATCACAGGAGATAGCGTTGCCTTATTTCGGTTCCAGCCCGTCGCATGCATTGGGGCAGCAATGGCATAGTCTGGATGTCCGCAGAGCTTTTCGGTAATATATCTCGCGGACCGCTCAGTTTCAGAAAAAGTCAGAAGCCCTTTTCCGTTTCTTTACACTCCTCTGACAGGGGACGGAAATTTCCTCTTCCACTGTGGGAAGTTGGATACGGGCATGCATCGCCAGGATTTACCAGGCTGAGTCAATGCCGGCTCCACATGGGATTGCAGCCCATTCTACTCGTAGAGCGGCTACCTCTGCGGCATGGGCCACTCAGGCTTCCATCTCGGAGGTCTGTACAGGAGCCGTCTGGGCTTCACCTTCTCTTTTCATTAGGCACTATAAAATTGATAAGTTCGCCTCTGCTAAGGCTTTGTTTGGACGGTGAGTTGTCCAACTAGTTTTACACCNTCAGTTAGTTTGGTGAGCCACAACGTCTTGCTGTCAGTCAATGGCTACGCTCGCGTCAAAGACTGGAGTATAAGGTCCAGGACGGGCGTGGCAACTTTGGCTGACTTGATCTGATTGGGCAGGAATACAGTCTACTACCCAATGGTGGAGTCTCCATCTCCGTGCTGAGAAAAGGCGTTCAGGTAAGACAACGCCCCTTTTCTTTTGTACACGGTGGCGGAGGCCTAAAGCGAAAAGGTGTTATAAAACCCAGATGAAGGCCTAGGACTGGGGCGACGGCACGCGTGCCCACAGAAAGGGCTCTGAGTGCCGCCTCTGGCACCAGTGCCATAGGTTCGCCACCACTGTTCTACTAATTCTATTAAAAAATAAATTGGGGAACAGAGATTGTTTTCCTGGATTCTCCACAAGCAGATAATACTACTCAGAACAAAGACTAGCAGAATAAAGAAAAGAATCAGGCCAAATTATTATGCATCAGCAACAAAACCACATTCTGAACCAATGCATCTGTTGTTGAACAAAACACAGCAATGTTCCTTTGATAGGAGCAGGAAAAAGAATGGCGGTTTAAAATAAATACATGGCTACTTACTCAATCCCACCCCTAGTTAAAGAAAATCAGCCAAGAAGTCATGAAAGCTTAGACTACTGTTTCTCAAACATTCTGCAACTATGAACACTAAACAAATGTTTAAAATATGAAGAAATCAGAGAATCCATTTAAATACCCAATTCCATGTTTTCATCTTGATGTTTTCATCTTGAAGAGCATGGGGTAGATTTTTCAGTAAATACGATCAGGATTATTGTGTACACCAGCCCATCATTCCATTTTTAAAACTCATTTAAAATTGAGTTTTTGTACCACAACAATTAACTCAGAATATAAGCTAGTCAAGAATGTTATTCATTAGAAATCTCTAATTACTAAGGGATGTTTAGATGCCCAGTCTAATAAAATCTCATTTTTAGATACTCATTCTTCATATCTTCTATTTATTTCTATTCACATATGCAATATCACAGTTCTACTCATATTTGGTAACTATACTTGAGACTACATTATTGTCAGTTTTAGTACTGCATCAGTCAATTAATTATCAGCCATTTATTTCTTTCTGCAAAGCAGGTGATAGGCAGGAAACGCAGAGAGAGGACTGAAGTGGCCCGCAGGGTAGAAAACAAAGTTTGAGAATAAATGTGATAACCCTTCATAAATATATTGCTGAAACATATGACCATATATTTGAATGGCTCTGAAAGCCATACAGAACAAAGATTCTCAGGTCCTAAATAACCAATATAAATGAGAATTAAATTCAAATTCAATAAGAGATAGAAATAAAGTTATGGGCCCACAAAATGCTGGCCACAATTCAACACATAATCAAGATCATTAATCTATACTACTGTCAGAGTTCCTTGTTTTCTGATCAATAAACACTAGAGAATATGATCTTTTACAACATTTCCATACTTTCATGCCATATAGAGAATCACTTGTTCACTAAGGGCTCCAAATTTCTCACTGTTCTCCTTACCTGCTTTTGACAATTAGGGCTTTAATAGAGGATATTTATAAACCATTCTGAGAACACTTTTGGTTTTTAAGGATAACATATATTTTGCAATAATAGAAAACATCAATTTGCCTTAAACATGTTTCTTATCTCCTCACACAGAAGCTGCTTCTAACAAAAAGAATGGGAACAGACCAGTTACAGATGCTTTTTTAAAGGTGCCACAAGATAACAAACTATTGTCTTACAGAGACATCTGTACCTACAGAGAATTTGTTTCCTGCCTTGTTATTTTTACAAGGCAGCAAACATATCTAACATACCTTCCTCCTATTTTCCCACAACAACCCTGTGAGGTGAGTTGGGTTGAGAGAGAGTGACTAGTCTGAGGTTACCCAACCCAATTGACTTTCATGGCCAAGGCGGGATTTGAACTCATGGTCTCTTGCATTCTAACCTAGTGCCTTAACTCCTAGACCAAACTGGTTTCATGCTTAGCTTAAGCTGACAATTCCTTCCAATTAATGCCCCCTAAAATAGTTAAAGTCATATATGAAAACAAAGCTCTGTTCCAGTAGATAATTGTTGAGCTGGGTATGCTTTATGTTAAACAAGAAGAGAGGTTGATCAGATGTGCTACTAACCTAACAATAGCACCAGTCTAAGTGAGAAAAATAGTAATGTATTTTGAATATGAAACATAACTGATTTAGATAAAGGTTTTCCTTCTGGAAAAATAGTTATCAGGCATGGAATAAATATGGAAAGGAAGGGAATTTTTGTAAGGAAAACAACAGATGAGATTTGCTTTAAACATTGTATATATATATATTATTTTGATGATATATTTTCCTGTTTGTCCATAACTTCTGGGATTCAGAATTATATTAGTTATGAAAATGGAGATTCCATTTTCTACCATGGCTGAGGTTGACATAAACATGCAGCAAATAGCCTTGGGTGGGGTTGAGATAAATGGAAATGGCTGAAGAGGGGAATTTGAATCACTCCTAACTTCTTGGAAGAAGCAGCTAGAGAAACAGAGGAATTGTCTGATTTTTAAGAAAAAATTGAAGTTTTCTAAAACCTGCATCCTCTGCAAATTAAAAACCCTTAACCTTAATCCACAAGGATTTAGGAAAATCATAGTGCACTTTCATAGGGAGAAGTGTTCTTGTTTTAAGGGCATCTCAGTCACCAACTGGAAAATACTCCAAAGTGAGGAGAGGAGTGATGATAGATAACAAAGGGAATTGAGAGATCACCTACACTGGCTGGCCTTGGGGTCCCACAATGAGCAAATCAATATTCTTTTCTCCATAGAACCAATAACATTTATTTCAGAGAGGCACTTTTGAGAGGTGAAAGAAACTGAGCTATGAAACGCTCCCTGGAATGAAGGCTGACACCCCTCCCAGCCCTCCCAACATGGTCTGGGCGCTCCAGAAGGCACTTTCTCAGCCAGGGTAGAGAACCGGAATATCGCATTGAAAAAGAGAGCCAAGCATCACTACCAGCTGAGGTAAAGCACTCAAATCTCTAAATTGCAGGATTTAGAAAACACTAATACATAAGAGGGAGATACACGCCCCGAGAAATACAATAAAGCAAAGGAGAAAAAGACTCACCGAAGTAGACAGTCTTGTCGCACTTGGGGCACTTGGATGCCATGATGGATAACTAAAATCTAACCACGAGCTTTTTCTCTGGCTGTCAGCTCCCCACTAACACGCTTCTTCTCCCATCCACCCACGCCGGCTGGAACACGCCTTAGTTGCACGTCCATTGGCTGCGCGCTCCAGCCAAGAGAGGAGAAAGCCAGTTGAGATGGAGTCGCCACTGGGTGGGGCTATTGGTTCCTCTATCGCTTTCCTTTATTGACGAAAGAGCAAAAACAGAGCAATGGGATACCTTCCTGCTGTATCCTTTCAAGCATACAGAAAGGCAGTTTCCGGCGGCTGGGAAAATGAACTCTGCTTTGCTTCTAGTTCTTAGGTTGGTTGCTGTCTGCTTCCTCGGTGGTAGTGTAGTGGTACTGCCACCATCAGAATGAAGGGTGCACACTCCTTTTAGTCAGTGCTCCCAAACAGCACGGTGTGGGAAGTCCTGGGCCTAGAAGGGTTATACTGCATGAACCGGCATCTAAGCAGGCGGTGGTGTTATTCATGCTGCAGAGATAAGCAAGGGTCAGCTGCTAAAATCAAAAACTGCAGTACCCACACGGAGAACAAAGTTACAAGACAGTAAGTGCAGTGAACTGAAGCAGGTTTAAGATGAGTTAGAGACCAGATGGCTGCTGTCAAACTAAGGTCATTACAAGCCAAAGTTGCCTATCTTCTATGCCACTCTCAGCTCTTGTGAAGCTGACTAGACCAGATTGCAATGGTTTACAATTATTGATTGTTCTTGTGCTTCTCACCTTTCCCAAAAATGCACACCTTTGTTGACTGACCCATATACTTGCCTTCCTTTTTGGAATTGTTTCCTCCTCCTTAGTTCCCTTTCTTTTCCTAACTTTCCAAAATGCTTGCACACAGAATAATCTCCTGCCTCAGGTTTCCCGAGTTCCCTCATTTTTTGTTTTATTCCTTATTAAAGCATCTTTGTTTTGAAGCTATGACAAATAAAGCCAAAGGAATGCTTGGGTCAATAGAAACATTGTGGGTTCAAAGACATAATGGATCACTGATAGACTTCTACAAAATGTTTTTGAATGTGATTTGCACTTTGTTTATTCTGTCTGTATTGTTGGTGTCACCGAGTCATTTGCTAGTCATGTAGCTAGAGTGAACTAGTATAATGGGCGCTCAATATTGCTCCATAGATTCCAGCACTTGGTGTTCAGTATTGCACACACAGTTGCTCATTTCCCCCCTTCTCACTTTCCTATGACCACCCTCATACAGGAGCATGGAATCCCATCCAAGAAAGTTTAGCCATGCTTTTTCATAGCTTTTCTGCTGTGCTTTGGATGCCTGCTACCCATAAAGAGAAGTCCACACTGCAGACTTAATATTGTGTCAGAGCAGTGGTTGTGTTAATATGCTGCTGTTTTTTTATTTCATCTGCTGATTGCATTTTATATTGTTCTATGTTTTTGCATAATTTTTGATTATTAGCTTCTAGAGTCATGAATTTGAGATTGACAGCCAAATGAATGAATGAGTAAATAAATAAATTTGTTCCACAGATCTCAGCTACACCCAGATGCTTGGCACTCATCTTCCCCACAGTTTGCATTCAGTCAACTGCAATTTTGGGAATGGAAATCTGATCATTCTGGTAATGGGTGGGCTGGAGTTCACGCCCCCTCATGTGTGCCTTAGTTTCTGCATAGCCGCACAACAATGAAGTAAGCAGCCAATATGGTGGCAACCAAGATAAATGTGAGCTACTCACCATTCTGAAAGTATGGAAGGAGGATTATTAACATGAATTGGCATGCATGCTCATAGATGCCATTTTGCCATGGTACAACCATCATCTTTTCCCAGTCACTGTACCTCTGCAAATCTGTAGGCCAAAGCCATGGCAGAAACACTAGTGGAAGTTATCTTATAGCCTCTGCAAAGCCGTTACAGGATATCTATGGAGATTCTCAGTCATTCAGGTCATAGTTGTCTCAAAGGTGCTTTTCAAAAAAGGCAGCTGGACTGTTTTTTCCTTAAGGAAGAAGAAAAAGACATTTTGCTTTTCATCCAAGAAGCTTCGTCAGCTGGATGGGGGGGAATGGAAAGATAGGTTCTGACAGGATGGTGGTGGTGGGGGGAATGGAAGGATTGTATTTCTTTGCAGTCATTTGGTTGTTAGCATTCTCTCTCAGAGCCATTGAGGCCACTTGGGGGTTTCATCTATGCCCTCAGGGTCACCTGAATCAGAGTGCAAATGGTTGTGGAATCTTCCTAGAATTGTTGAAAAGAATGTGTTGTAGACAGGAGAGAGATGGGGTTGTATTTTCCACCCCCCTCTGTTGAGAGAATGTCAAGGTTCCGACTAACAAACCCAAGGAAGTGAGCACAACTGAGACAAACCAATCACTAATGCAAAACTTTACTGGGTAAATCATTTCGGCACAGGTGAAAGGAAACCAGCTCTGATAAATTGGTGCCTAAATCAATATTAGCATTATTTAGAGGGAGGGAAAGTATAAAGTTCCCTCCCTCAAAATAATGCAGTCACAGCTTGACAGGCGGACCCCGCCTAAAAACTGGAAGGAACCTGGAAAACAATAAATACATGTTACTTTCTGAAATCTCCTCTATTGTGATGGCCCCGGGTTTTGGGGGTATCTACTATGGAACTTAGTGGTTTGCCTTAATGTGGTGGGTTTTTGTCCATCTAGCCTATGAAATCGGATAACCTTTCCATTATACTACCATGTTTCCCCGAAAATAAGACCCACTTCAATCCCACATCTTAAGAAAGCAGAACTCTTGGAAACAATTTCTTCCAACAGGAACTTTTATTAAGAGTAGTTGATAGCAGACATAATAGACAGGATCTGAGGGATTTCTTTACAGATCGATACTTTAAAGTGTCCCTAAGCAAACCCCACCCCACAGTTCATCCGGACGGTTCAGACCGGCCAATCCCCAGGTGTTAAGTCCATTGTGCGAAAGGGGAGATAACATTGGTCCGGCTCCGGTTGTAGCACGATGTTCAACACCTCTTTGCACCTCCTTTTCAGACCGGAGAAATAAGCCAGGCTCCAGAGGTTTGTGTTTCTCCCCCCCCTTTTCCTAGCTGCCAGGTTAGGGAGAAGAAAGTTCAGAGAGATGTATAGTGCAGGAGGCAATTTGTTACATTGTAATGGGCAGCAGACACAGAGGCAATAAACAAAAGGTTACATTGTAGCAAATAGAGGAAGTGAAAGCAATAACCACGCAGGCATATCCCCTCTCCCCCTTGGGAGTATGGCAGAACCCAGGGGAAGGTGAGATTTGGTTTTAGATCAGAGGAGATAGATAGAAATGAAATATAAATGGGTTCTGACACACCAGGTCTTATTTTCAGGGGTGGGTGGGTGTCTTTTCCACTCACCTCCAACACCGACAGCCCCGCCCAGCTAGCCTACTTCTGCGGCCAAAGGAGCAGCTTCATGTTGCAGCTGAGAATGGAGCTCCGGCCTGCATTTTGCAGTCAAAGGCCTTTCCAGAACGCCACTGCAGCCAAGAACCGAGCTGCAGAGTTCTTGCAGAACCAAGCTATGGATTAATCTAGACTGGTCTTGTGGAACTCACACTTTGACAACTTGGCATATAGCATAGCGTCCAAAAGTTTTTTCAGCACCTGTTGCACGAATTTCACATGTTCATCCATTGTCTCAGAGTAAATGAGGATGTCTGCCAAATATACTAGGACCCCCTTGTAGAGGTGCTCATGCAGCACTTCATTAATGAGCTGCATGAATACAGCAGGGGCCACTTGCAGTCCAAAAGGCATCACTTTAAACTGATAGCATCCCAGCGGGCAATTAAGGCAGTTTTCCGTTCATCACCTTCCTTAACTCTCACTCAGTAATACACTTCCCTCAGGTCTAGCTTCATGAACACCTTTCCCTTTGCTAAATGTCCCAGCATGTCTTTCCTGAGGGGGAGGAGCTACATATTCTCCATGCACACTTCATTTATTCTGCAAAATCTACGCACAATCTCAGCGACCCATCCTTCTTTTCTTTGAATAGCACTGGGGCTGCCACTTGGGATTTTACTGCTTGGATAAAATTCCTAGCCAAATTTTTATCCATGTAGTCTCTCAGCTCCACCATTTCCCTTGAGGTCATCGAGTACATTTTTTGCTTGGGGAGTTTCACCCCTGGCAGGATCTCGATGGCACAGTCGATGGGGCAATGAGAGGGCAGCACATCATACTCCTTCTCACTGAATACTTCCATAAGATCCTGGTACTCTCTTGGGACAGTTTTCAGCTTCCCTCCTGCTCTGACACAGCCTTGCTGTGCTTGGGGGGGGGTTCTTTGCTTCCCTCTGGGGTGTGGACCCATTTCACCTCTGCCCTATGGGGTGGGTTTTCACTTCTTCATCACAATGCACTGCACGTACTTTCCCCAATGAACCCTGGAGTTCCCCTTGGTCAACCAAGATAGCCCTAGTATCATCGCCTCAGCCATTTTTGAGGCGCTCATGAATCGAATAGCTTCTTGGTGATCTCCTAGCCTCAGGTGCACCGGCTCGATTAAGTAGAAGGCAGGCAGTCCCCCACTATGGAGCCATCGACCTGCTTGAACTTCATGGGCTGGTGCAGCTTTCTCACAACTCCAGGTTCGGTGCTGTTGGCAGGCTGACTAGGCATTGGGTGCACCCTGAGTCTATTAGGGCTTTTACTATCCACTTCACCTCCAAATGAGGCACTATAATGTCCACTTGAGCTGAGAGGGGGCTGATGGGTCCACTTACCATTGGATTGTCTTCTTCCTCACTATCACTCTCATTGACGGTCAGTCGCAGGTCCTCCGCAGTCAGAGTTCCCTCCCTTTGCAACTCAGGGGAGAGACCTCAATGACCTGGCATGCCACTCGCAGCTTTTCCTTCCCCTTGCTTGGTGGCTCTTTGGGTTTTTGGGGAAATGGGACTGCCCGGGCCGTTCTGGGCGCTGCAGCCTAGCACATCATGGCCCGGTTGCCCTCCTGGCCACAACGGAAGCATGGGCTGGATGCGTGCCTTGTGATCTCGGTGGGACTTTCTGCCCAGTGTGTGGCTTTCTTGGCTTTTCTTCAGATGGGCCTCGAACCTCCCACACCTTTTGTACTCCATCAGGTCCAGTTCCA